TTAACTGGTACAACAAGAGGAGAAAGAAATAGGCCACACGCATGAAAGTTGAGAAACTAAGAGATTTGTTGAAGGATATTCTTTGTAGCTAGCAGACATCTTAGGTGGGTAGTGAATAGATGTTCCGCAGGTCTATTTCTTCACCTGAATTTCCACCAGTTATCTGGAAACACAGGGTCTTAGATCAGCCAGTGGAGGAAAGGTGATGTGGGAATGGAAAAGTAGGTAGTTCACCAAGGTGCTAGTTGGGAAGAAAGAGGGATGGTGACCCTCAGGTTTCTTAGAAGAATTTCAGGAGAACAGAGATGGATTTCCACTGGCAATGTGAGCAGTGCAGGAGCCTATTGTTTCAGATTCCCTAATGGGGTAGGAATGGGGAGATGAGGGGAAGATATTGGCACAAAACCCCACCTTGTGTTAGTACCACAGTGGTGGTGGGAGGGTAGGGTGGAGTAGGGGGAATGGTGAGTACAGTCTCAGAACCCATCCCCCAAGATGACTTACAAGCTTCCCTTCTTTATACCACTCACATTTTAGGCCAGTGACTAGCTAAGTGTGATGGCAAGAGTATATTCAAGGGGCTCGCCTTTATTATCTCTTTTTAAGCTTCAAAAATTTTATTTATGAGAACTAGGATGCTACAAAGAACACAATCACAATTTTGGAAGCAAGGAGGGCTCTCCATAATTTAGGGATGTAAGGCAAAATAGTAAATCAGCATAGGTAAGTGGAAGCTAACAAAGTATTCCAAGGAGTTTTTTACTCCATATCTTTTGATTGAGCTGAGCCAAGGGGAAAAGCCTTGGAACTTGCTTCTCTGGGAAAAACAGTAGCATCTTTGCTTTAAGGAATTAGTGCTTTCCCCTTGAATTCTTCAACTGAATGGTGTCCTAGAGTGTGGGGGAAGGGAGGGGAGAATTTCACCAGGATTCTAAAGTTAGGAAAACCAAAGGTCTCCATTTACCAATATACATTAATGTGTATGTAAATATTTTCTAGCAAAGAATAGAAATTCATTTACATTCACATGCTTATAGGATTGTGGTGGAAGATTGGTACTTGAAATGACAAAAATCCTAAATAACAAAAACCTTCATGTGAATGTATGAATATGCATGTATGAATATATATACATATATACATACACACATATGTATGTATCTGTACACACACACATGCACACACACACACACACACATTAACAGAGTGATAGAGAACAACAAAGACCAAAGATTATGGAAAGTACTGCGGAAATTAAAATCTCTTGGCTCTGCCAGATTAGGTTGGCAGTGCCCTTCCTTCCACCCTTTCCCCCCTTCTTTGCCATTCTCCATTTCCCTCATAGGTTCACTCTTGGGGTTGGGCTTAAGCAATGCCAGTTTGCTAGTGTTGTAAAACAATGCAAACAAACAAAAATAAGGACCCTTGTCCCTGAAACTCATCTAGGCCTTATCTACCTAGTGGACTGCCTAATGAGCAAAAGTCAGTCAGCCTAGTTAGAACTTTGAGCATTGATAACAACCGTTTCTTTTCCTGAGACATCTACAAGAATGCCACCCCATACATTGTCACAAGGACAGCCCAATGTAACTGGTTGTGGCAGCTCCCCTGCTTCTCTTTCTTTCTTTCTTTCCTTCTTTCCTTCTTTCTTTCCTTCCTTCTTTCCTTCTTTCCTTCCTTTCTTTCTTTCTTTCTTTCTTTCTTTCTTTCTTTCTTTCTTTCTTTCTTTCTTTCTTTCTTTCTTTCTTTCTTTCTTTCTTTCTTGGCAATCAGGGTTAAGTGATTTGCCCAAGGTCACACAGCTAGTACATGGCAAGTGTTTGGTTTGAGGCCGGATTTGAACTCAGGTCCTCTGACTTCAGGGCCGGTGCTCTATTCACTGCGCCACCTAGCTGCCCCTTCCCCTGCTTTTCTTCAGCATCAGTGTTGATCCTAGCCATGGTACTGACTATTTCTGCACTAGATGGTACAGTAGATAGAGTGCTGGGCCTGGAATCAGGAAGACCTGAGTTCAAATGCGCACTCAGATACCTATTAGCTGTAATAACAACAACAACAACTAGAAAGGAAGTCTTAGAAAGGGAATACTCTTCATGCAGCATTTTTTGTTTGTTTTGATAAATATTTATTGTTCAGTTGTGTCCAACTCTTTGTGACCCCATTTGGGGTTTTCTTGGCTAAGATACAGGAGTGGTTTGCCATTTCCTTCTCCAGCTTATTTTACAGATGAGGAAACTGAGGCAAACAGGGTTAAGTGACTTGCCCAGGGTCACACAGCTAGTAAGCATCTGAGGCCAGGTTTGAACTCGGAGGAGTTTTCCTAACTTTAAATCTAGCACTCTATCCACTGTGCCACCTATCTGTGTGTGTGTGTGTGTGTGTGTGTGTGTGTGTGTGTGTGTCTGGTCTTTATGTGTACCTGGAGAAAACTAGTTCACATTTGCCAGAGCATAGACATTCTTCCTTCATAGTACATCTGCACTGGCTGGTCCTCATTTTTGGAATGCCCTTTCTCTGTCTTCATCTCTTACCCTCCTTGCTTTCCTTCAAGTCCCAGCTAAAACCCCATTTTCTTTTCTTTTTTTTTTTAGGCAATTGGGATTAAGTGACTTGCCCAGGGTCACACAGCTAGTAAGTGTCAAGTGTTTGGTCTGAGACCAGATTTGAACTCAGGTCCTCCTGACTTCAGGGCCGGTGCTCTATCCACTGCACCACCTAGCTGCCCTTAAAACCCCATTTTCTATAAGATACTTTTCCTGTTCCTTTTACAACTAGGGTCTTCCCTTTGTTATCTCCTATGTGTTCTGTATATAACACGTTTGATTTATTTGTTCGAGTGTTGTCTCTCCCATTAGACGGTGAGCTCCCTGAAGAGCAGGGACTTGTCTTTTGCCTTTCTTTGTATCCCCAGAATTTAGCATAGTGCCTGACATAGTAGGTGCTTAATAAATGCTTATTGACTTGACTTTCTGTGCCATAAGGTTGCCAATGTTTCTAAACTAGCTGCTTATTGGCTGCCTTCCCTAGTGATGCCTGCACTAACTCTAAGCCTTTACTGAACGTCTCCATGTTTCCACATCTAGTTCTCCCTTTCTCTGATTCTTCCTTCTTGTCCTTGGCTCCATTGATATTTCCAGGATTCTGACAGAAAGAAGCACCTTTTCCCCTCCTCCCACCTTTTTTGCTATGCCTTTTCTACTTGAGACAGAGTCTCGAATTTTAAAAGTACGTGAAAGACTTCTATTCTCCATTGTAAAGAAGGTTCCCAGAACTGTGTTTGATACACAATAAATAGGTAGGTGTTGTGGTGGATAGCGTGCTGGGCCTGGAGTCAGGAAGATTCATCTCTCTGAGTTAAAATCTGGCCTCAGACCCTTACTAGGTGTGGGATGCCTGGCAAGTCACTTAATCCTGTTTGCCTCAGTTTCCTCATCTATAAAATAAGCTGGAGAAGGAAATGGCAAACCATTCCAGTATCTTTGCCAAGAAAACCCCAAATGGGGTCATGAAGTGTCAGACACAACTGAAAAAGAACTGAATGACAAAATAGATAGCAAGTATCCAAAGCAGGCTTTGAACCCAAATCTTCCAGACTCCAACTCCAGCACACCACCAACTTGTATTGGAACAAATCCTGACTTGCCATGGAAAACCAAACTTTAGGTCATTTAAAATGTATTTTAAAATGTTTTGTAAAAACGTCACTCATGGGGCAGCTAGGTGGCGCAGTGGGTAGAGCACTGGTCTTGGATTCAGGAGGACCTGAGTTCAAATTTAGCCTCAGATACATAACACTTACTAGCTGTATGACCCTGGGCAAGTCACTTAACCCCATTGCCTAGCCCCCCCCAAAATAAAATGAAACAAACAAAAAAAACCCTCATCACTCATTCTAGATTTCCCTATTGTCCAGATTTATTCTCTTCCTAGAGAATATTATTTGAGAACACACACATGAACACATGTAAGATATATGAGAGAAGATGGAGGCACATACCTATTCACTCTTGGTCAGGTCCTTGGGCTTCCAGGAATTAAGAAACATTGGACATCGTGTTATAAATCTTCCCCCTTTTAGGAGTGGGCTTTCTATCTCTATATTTTGAGTGTGCAGAGTGTGTAAGGGATGAATATGAATACTCATCCGTGGTTGCCCACTTACCCCTGAATAAGGGGGCAGGATAAGCATCTGATTGTGACCTGATGATAGATGTTTGAGTTGGAAAGGAGCCTAAATGGCCTCTGGTACAACCTTCTCATTGTATAGACGAAGAAACTGAGGCCTAGAGAGGTTAAGTGTCTTGCTCAAGGTCATATAGTAGCTGGCAGGAGTAGTTTTGAACCCAGATCTTCCAAATCCAAATCACTGCTCTTTCCAACTTGCTGCATTGCCCTTGATTTCTGGCTACTAACTCACAAGTATGGAAAGGAGTCTATGCCGGCCATGTAGACTCAAAGCTGACAGCAACTGAAGGGAGAAGAGGTTCAAATAAAGCTTTACACCATCTTTGGCACAGATAATGTGAGCTGATAACTCACATTCTACAGCAAACTTCAGCATCATGGAACCTATAATGCCAGAGTAATAAATTTTCTATGGGTCCTGAGCAAATTAGCTGATGCCACTATAATTCTCCTCAAGTCCTTGCATGATTTGAAGGCGAAGAAAAAAAAGTCTATAGTTAACCTCACTCCAGACCTTTCCTGAGGAAACTTGAATGACATATTTGTTTGGGAAACTGGAAAAATCTACCTCATTAACTTGAGCAATTGAGGATGGCTGTAATAATGATAATACTTCGTATATTTGTGGAACATTTTACACTTTGGAAAGCATAATCTACTCTTCCTTTTAACTTCTTTCTATCAATTTCTGTGTAGTCCTTCAATCTGTGAAAAAGAATGTTAGGAAGAGAACATCCTGCCTTAGAAGATGAAGTTGGACATGGAAGAGGGTTTTTTTTTCATAATTGTTGTTGCAAAAATGACATAATCATGTATTACAAGATAACAGTGGGAAAAGGTTTTATTAGAGTACAAAATTATGACATAAGCCAAAAAACACAGAAAAGCACTGGATTTACATTCACAAATACTTGGTTGTCCGAAGTCAAAAGGGAAGTTCCCAAAAAACACTTTCTTTACCAAACATGTATGGTTAAATTTGTGGAAAATTTTGTTCTTTTTTCTTTTAGGTGAGATACCTGTGAGCTTTGCTGTCAGAGAGACATCTGTATTTTACTTCACAGCTCAGCATTTTCGAGGCTGTTGAATAATATAGATCCTCTTCGGTGGGACAGTCTTTTCCAGGCCAGGTCTTGGCTTCCGATGAGCCACCTGGACTGCAGCTGGAAATTTGTGGCTGATCTGTAAGGTAGGAACAAGAAGAAAAATGAAATGAGAAAATGATCAGTACTGAGATTTTCTATGCTTTGGTCTTGGAAGGAAACTTTTTTGATCATAAGATGTTAAAACAGTAGAAAGCTATCAGGTTACATGAGCTAGCTCTGTTGAGCTTGCCTGCATTCTCAGTAACTTCTTTAGCCCATACCTCTCACAAGGGCTAGATAAGTGTGGGTCTTCCCCATGACCTCCACCTCCATGCTACTTTTCTTAAAGACACAGATGACCAGTCATGCCAGAAATGAGTCACTTGCAGCATTAAAAAACATGATTGTAGTAACTTTGTGGCTGTGAGTCGTTATCTTTGAAAAGGGATGTGAAATCAGAAAAGCATTCTGAGAAGAAAAACCAGAATGGTGAGGATCTTTGAAGAAAGGTTAAGATAGCCTAGGTTATGTAGTTAATGAAGAGGAAGTCAAAGGATAATTTAATAACTTAAGCGTAAAGAAAATAACCATAAGAAGGTTGGTGGCCATCTTGAATAAAGAACTAGAGGAAATGAGCTTGAGTGATAGTAACAAATTTAGGACAAATCAGCAGTTCTCTAACTTTTTGGTCTTAGGATCCCTTTATACTCTTTTGGAGTATAAATAATTTGGAGTAAAAACAAACATAAAAAAATAAATAAATATTGGAGGATTCCCTCAAAAAGCTTTTTATTTTTGTGGGTTTATATCCATTGATACTTATCACATTAGAAATTAAAATATCTTAGTATTATTATGAAAACAGTTTTGACCTCCTGGACCTCCTGAAAGGGTCCCAGGGACCCCCAGTACTTCCTGCAGCACACTTTGAGAACACTTCAAATTTAGGTGAAATTTTCTCTATTTAAAAGAGCTATTTATTAAGAGGCAATGTGGTATGGTAGAAAGAGCTCCAGACCTGGGGTCAAGTGAAATGGATTCAAATCCCATCTTTGGATACTTATTTCCTATGTCACTTTGGACAAGTCACTTAACCCCAATGGCCTCAGTTTCCTCATTTGTAAAAAAGAAGAGGTTTTACTAGATGGCTGTTAAGATCTTCCTAACTAGTTCTATGATCACTGGCTTTGGAAGGAGCCTTAAATGTTACTTAGTCTAACCCTTTCTTCTTACAGCCTAGAGAACTTGGGTCAGTGCTCAGCTCTCCAGGTTCCTTTCAGTTGTAGGACTCTAAGCATCATAAATAAAATATTAATGGTCCCTAAGGGCATCTTCATCTCCCAGAAAGTAAGGCATTCTCTAAGTTTCAGGAAATTTCTATGGTAACCTTTACTGTAGAATTCCAAGTCAAAGAAGAAGGGGAGAAAAACTATTCTTTTTGGCTCTCAGTATTAAACTGCTTTGGAACCAAACCATGAGAAGTTGTCTGGTGTATTTTGGGCCATTCAAAGTCATTGCAAACATATGGGTATCCTATCTCCTGGTGAATGTTTTTGTTTTTGGTTCTTGGCATGCAGAGTTTTCTATCCTGGGAACTCCACTCAGAAAAAAATTAGTTTCCTCCCATTCTTAACAAATGAAGCCCAAAGGACAAGTCCTTGTTGAATGTGAGCAGAATAGTTTTAATGCAACTGAGGGAAAGACTGTGAATTTCTAGGTCCTTTTGGCTTCCTTAAGGGGAAAAAAATCAAGACCAGCATTTTCATTATTCCAGTGGAATCAAGTATTATCAGAATAGTAATGTAATACCAGAGACTTGGAGTAACTTTAAGAAGTCACCTGCTCTGGTTCACTCAGTGGCTAGGCTGAATGATGTCTCTGCCATCAGAAATCCCTTTTGAATTAACTTTATACTGGGTTCAAGGAGTTATAAACAGGGAGACAATTTGAAAGGTTATCCATCAGAAGCTTATGGTCCAACTTTATTTTCTTGGTCCAGATCTGTGACCTCATCAGTTTAAGGAGATCCAGGTATGAAAACTCCTTTCTGCAAAGTAGAATATCTACCCCAGCCTTAGAAAATTGCCTAAGAGGTTAAGTAACTTGGCCAGGGTCTCACAGCCAATATCCATACTAGATCCCAGGTCTTCCTGATTCTGAGGCTGACTCCCTATCACCAGACTGCCAAGGTCCAACTTGAGGTTAACAAAATTATTTTTAAAACAAACAAACCCCAAATCACACTTATGTAACTGAAATCTGGGCAGTTAGCCAGAGGGGAGGGTGGTGCAACATGAAAAAGAAAAAGGACCACAGGTAATATCATATTTAATTGTGGAGTTGGAAAAGGGGAAAGGAGGTGAGAGCTGAGAGTTGGAAAGACAAAGAAGGAAAGAAGGGGAAAAAACACAAGTTGGAAGCACACATTGTTTAATGTCATCATAATAACTGTTTTCCATTTGTTAAGCCCCAGTGTTACTTGGGAAACCTGTAAACTGGTAGGGATAGTTAAGTAGCTAAGGAAATGTTATTATAACACTATTCTACCCCTTATCTAGTGCGGAGCTTGCTCACTGTAATAGCCAGGAGGCTGAGTCAGTTTCCTTGTGCCTCTGTCAAGACAACAATGTGACCTAATAGAGTTTGGAAAAAAGAAAAAAAAATCATTGGGTGTCAGAAGGAAGTGGAAATAGCTTCAGTTAGGAAAATAGTTTAATAACCCTGGGCAGGTTTGCTAAGCTGAAGGATTTTTAATGCCAGATCTCCATTGGAAGTGGCATAGCAGGCTTCAGTGTTCCCTGTGCTATTTCCCACCTCATCTCCATCTTGGAAATGCTTGGTGGAGTTCAAGAAGAAGCTCAGGCTAGAACTAAATTGAATATAAATTAAGAAAACTATTATGAAGTAGTAAACAACAAAAGGGATAGGTCCAGAGAAACCTTAGAAAACTTGTATGATCTGATACAGAATGAAGTGAGCAGAACTAGGAGAAAAAATTTTACATTAATAACAATGTTTAAAGAAAAACATTATTTTGAAAGGCTTAAGAACCCTGGTCAATGTAATGATCAACCAAAATTCCGGAGGACAAATGGTGAAACATGCTACCAACCTCCTGACACAGAGATGATAGATTCAAGATGGAGGATGAGACATGAGGTTTTGGACGTGGCCGATGTGCGAATTTGTTTTGCTTGACTATGCACATTTGTTACAAGGGTCTTTTTCTTCCCACTTTTTTCAGTGGAAGTGGGGGTGGAGGGAGAAAAAAATATTTAATAAAAAAAAACAATAAAAGTCAAAAAAACAGATTAAAAATTTTTTAAAAGAACATAAATTAAAATGACCTACAAATGTGTTGGCAGAATGGAGCAGAGGCCAGAGAAGATCTATTCATTAAAGGTTGACCTAACAATAAGTACAGAGAATTTATGAACACATAACTCACAGAGAAAAAGGATGAGTGTATGTGTGTGTGTGTGTGTGTGTGTGTGTGTGTAGGCAAGATGTGTTTTTCAGCTGGTATTTGGCATCTAAACTTGGGGGAGCTCTGAATTTTTCATTATTACCCCTTGCAGAATAACAGCATTATTGGCAATTGAAGGGTTTTTTTTCCTTCCTTGCCTAGGCTTAAGGTAAGACAATCTTGATTTTGGCGGCTAAGTTTATAAAGCAGAGATATACTTTTGACTCTACATGAAAAAGGAGTTCACGGTCAGAACTAAATGGATGCCATTCAGCCCTCTATGACAGGGGGCAATAGAGTTGATGTTTCAAAGAAAATCAATAGAAATGTTTTTAAAAATCAGAGTATGCCTGCATTTGAGGCTTAATAGTCTTAAACACATTAATAGAGAGCTTTAAGATTTATGGTTACAGACTCTGAAAGGCAGTCTCAGAGTTAGGAAGACCTAGGTCCAAATCTAATTCTGATACATGCTGTCTGCGTAACCAGGGTGCATTGCTGAATCCCGCAGTGCTCCTGGCAACTGAAAAACTAAGCTGCAAGCCAGCTTCAGAATCTGCTGTGAGAGAGGGAGTTTTCTCATGGATAGCACCCTCCAATAAAGAAATCTAGGCCTAGGAAGAAACAAAACAAAATCAACAACAGAAAAATCCTCCAACTCACAGGGTTTTGGGGGAGAAAAGGCCTTTTGTAAGCCTCAAAGTGTTAGAAAAATACGAACTATTGACCTAACCCCGTTTGGCCGTGTTTTGTGGGAGTGAGGTTGGGACCCATGATTTCATCCATGTCGAGAATTCCCAGTAAGGCACCTCCCTCCAGAGATACAGCTCAGCAACCCTTTTGTAGTGAATGGTCTTAATTGCCTGGAGGCCCCAAGAGGCTACTTTGTTGGGGGGGTAGCACTTGAACTCAGGTTTTCCTCCCTCCAAAGCCAGGCCTCCATCTACTCTGCCATGCAGCCTCTCTGGTTATAACTAGCCTGTTCAAAAGAGAAAATCAAAAAGAATAAAAGTCTTTCTGGTTTTGGTTGTGAAAGCCGATTTTGAGGCGCGGAGACCAGTGCAGTTCTTCCCTTTCGAGCCCACATTTGCATGATAGTACCAGACAGCTATTTCTTCCTTTTAGTCTTTACAGGATGTTAACTTCAAAGTCTATCACTGGCACTTCAATTTCCACACACTGTTAAGCAAAGTGCTTACGACAAAACATCCAGACAGAGTCAGTGAAACTCAAAAATACTCCCCTGATAGACCCCTCATCTATAAAACAACAGAAAGCTTTTTCTTGAGAGCCTTCTGCCAATTCCATCTTACAGGCCTCGATGACCTTTCTGGCAACTTGGAAAATGGGCACAACTTTAACCTTGAATCCACCCACAACCCTATGTATGCATAGAATTTATCTAATACTCTTTCTTTCTTAAAAAAAAATTGTTTATTTTTAACATTCTTTTAAAAAATTTTTTTTGAGTTCTGAATTCTCTCCCCACCCAATGAGAAGTCAAGCAATATAATATCAATTATATAACACATTTAGTTTCAAAGTAGCTGTTTAGGGTTGTAGATCTAGAGGAAACTTTGGGGTCCTTTCATTTTACAGGGGTGAAAAACTCATGGAGGTTAAATGACCTGCCCAAGGTCACAGAAGTGGTGACTCTAGAATTCTGACTCTAGAATTAGTGTTCTTTCCACTGTGCCTAGCTGCTCCTGTCAAGCACAAACAAGCTATTGAGTTGATAGATCAGGTATTATTTTACTCAAAATCTGATTCATGTTCATTTTATTTTATTTAATAGATGAGGACCAGAGAATTTAGATGAGTTCTTCAAGGCAAAACAATAACAACAGCTAGCATTTCTATCATGTTTTAAGAATTGCAAAACACTTTACAAATATTATCTCATTTGATCCTGATCACCCTGTGAGGAAGGTGCTATTATCCCCATTTTTACCAATGAGGAAACCAAGGCAGAAAGACGATAAATGTCTTAATCAGAATCACACAAGCTAATAAGTGTCTGAGGCTAAATTTGAACTCAAGTTTTCCTTGATTCCAGATATAGCCTGGATGTGCCACTAGCATACAACTAGTAAATGAGGGAGGTGGATTTGATTTCTAGACCAGTCATATACATACTCTCTAAAGGGAAGCATCATCATTGTTGTTCATTTGTGTCCAACTCTTTGTGACCCCATTTGGTGTTTTCTTGGCAAAGATATTGGAGTGGTTTGCCATTTCCTTCTCCAACTCATTTTACAGATGAGGAAACTGAGGCAAACAGGGTTAAGTGACTTGCCCATGGTCACAGAGCTAGTAAGTGTCTGAGGCTAGATTTGAACTCACAAAAATGAATCTTCCTAAGTCCAAGCCTGGCACTCTACCCATTGTACCACCTAGCTGCCTAGGTATGAAGTTATAACTAATTCTAAAGGCTGGGACATAAGGTCATACAATCTAATGGCTAGAGACATGAATTAGGATTCCTCACTTCATGAAACTGGATTCCTCACTTTATGGTACTAGTTGTGCCCTATTACAAGGGGTGGTGGTATAAGTCTACTCTACCCTCATCCTTTAGGGATGTACTGATGATATCTGTGAGAAGGTGAAATAAGGTCTGTAAAGTTTATACAGCATGGGGTAGTGGAAAGAGTACTGTGCACAGAATCAAAGGCTTTGCCCTTTACTAGTTCGGTGACCACAGAAGAGCAAGTTACTTAACCTGAGACTCTGTTTCCTTATCTACAAAATGGGGATAAACACACTTGTACAATCTAACTGACAGGATCATGGTATGGAAATGCTTTGGGAAACAACACAATAAATACAATAATAAAGTATATCAAGTGTCTCAGAAATAAACAATATACTAAACAAGCATTTTGGTTGTGTGCATTTTTTGAAAACAATTTGCATTTGTTTATGCTTACAAATGGAAGTGGAGACAGGGTTTCATAAATTTAAATCCACAAACATAAAATGTCACATTTAAATTCATAAATTTGAATGTCATTAGGTTAAATTCTGCAAAAAACCCCTTTCCACCCCTAAAATTAAACAAAAAAGATTTAGAAGGAGCCATGTGGCCTTTTGTTCTTTGCATAATGAATAGGTCTATAGAGAGTGAGGAAAGGTCAGCAATTGGGTGAACATGTGAGAGATTTCTCAAATGTGGATATAATTCCAACCGATAGCCAACCTCTTGGCAGAAGTCTTTATAGATTTGTTTTGTATGCCATTCCTCACAAACTTAAAATCCTAGGTGAATTTTGGAGTGATGCTGGTATGTACACTATATTAAATATGTTTACATGATCCTCATCCCTTCTTTCCAGGAACTCCTAGAAAGGCCTCCTAGAATCCTGGGATTCTATGGAACAAAACTAAAAATGACGCCTTAGATTTAAGTCCTAAAGTAAACATGCAAATGAGCACAGGCACCAGGACTAGGGCTAGAAGAAAGTAAAAGCAATGAAAAAGTAATAATCTTAATGATGATCAGAAATATAACTCACTGCTCTGGATTGCCTTTCTTCAAGTACATTTAATGACAATCAATGTGGAAAAGTCTTTCGGACTGCACTGAATCCACCGCACCACGCTAAAAAGGCAGTCAGTGAACAGAGAAAAGGAAGTATGATCGGAAGTGGAAATAAAGGCTATGTTGCTTAGGCAGGACCTGTGCAACTCTGTGTACTGGGAAAAGATTGAGGAATGTGTGACATGGCAAATAAGAATAATTGCTGTCTTAAAATGTTTGAAGGGCTGTGGTGCAGAAGAGGGAGTCGGCTTGTTTTGCTCCAGAGAGCTGGACCAGAAACAATGGGTGGAAATTGCCGAAAGGCAGATTTCCATTTGATAGAAGGATATACTGGCTCTCACTTGGAGTGGTCCAAAAGTTGAATGGATTATATTACAATCGCTAAAGTGGCTGGGCACTTGATGACCAATCACCATTCCTCTCTTTGTTACAAGAGAGATTCCTAATCAGGTTTGGGTTGCACCAGAAGACCTCTGAAGACCCGCACAGTTTAGAAATTCAGTGGTTCTATTTGAGAGATCTGAATGAGTTGTCAGAATTGAAAGGCTGTTCTTTGTATCCAGAGCCTATGTTTTTCTCCTTTTAATATTCCAGATGGTGTTAGCACATTTTCATTTTACGGATACAAGAAAAAAAAACCTCTAAATCCAGAACAAAACATTTGAACAGACCCAGAAATTATAGCCAATAGTTATAGAGGGGAGCAGGGAAATGGAGCAGTAGAGGCTCATTTCATTCAAGTTGACAGCAATATCTTGCAGACCTCCTGTTCAGGCCTCTTGCCATTGGTTCGTGGAGATCGCAGTGCTTTTAACAAGGAAGGAGAGCAGAGTTACTATAGGTCTTCCTTGTAATAAGCTTGAGAAGCCTTCTTTAGTTCCTCCCCCTTGGCAAATAGTAGGTCCTTAAAAATGCTTATTGAATTGATGACAAATGTAAGAACGTCAGAAGATGTTCTCATTAGGGTAGCTAGGTGATGCAGTGGATAGAGCCCTGGGCCTAGGAAGACCTGAGTTCAAATCTGGCCTCACATATTTACTAGCTGTGTGACCTTAGGCATGTCACTTAGCACCTTTTGCCTCAGTTTACTCATCTGGAAAATGACCTGGAGAATGAAACCATTCCAGTATCTTTGCCAAGAAAACCCCAAATGGGGTCACAAAGAGTTGGACATGAGTAAACAGCTTCTTACTTCAGTGTCTATGTAATTTCCACTATACACTTCGCAGGAGTGTGGTAAGGAAGACTTAACCACCAACATCTAAAAATATTAATACCAGCTAACATTTATATAGAACTTACTGTGTGCCAGGAATTTGTGCTAAGTGCTTTACAATTATTATCTCATTTGATTATCGCGATAACCTTGGGAGATAGGTACTATTATTATCTCCATTTTGCAGTTGAGGAAACTGAGGCAAACAGGTTAAGTGATTTGCCCAGAGTCACACAGCTAGTGAGTGTCTGAGGCTGCATTTGAACTAAAGTCTTGATTGATTCCAGGCCCAGCCTCTCTATCCACTGTGCCACTTACCTGTCCATATAAGACTTATTTTGTCAGGTCAGAGTTTGTGAAGGTCCTTGGAGGAACTAAATGATATCAACATAAGTCCATTGTACAAGCCCCAAATAGACCTGAGCTGGGTCACTCCCCCCAATCCAGATCCTCAGATATCATCCCATCCTCAATCCTGAACTCAGATTTTCTTTTTTGTAGTGAATTTGCAAAGCAGTTTATATTGCCAAGAAGATCAGGAGAAAAAATTGCTTGATTTCTAGGGGGCAAAGAATCTACTTTTTCTTTCTTTTAAGAAAGCTAATATTCTTAGGAATGAATTTGGGTTGTAGAGGGACAGTTTTGCGAGGTCTGCTACATGATTTTTTGCTTTTGCTTCCAGGTCTATTTTCAAAGGGATTTATGAAACATCCACTTTAGGAACATTGCTTTGAAAAGTGATATCTCTTAGCCAAACCATTCTGTGCTCCATTGTCATTGATGGAGAATGACTTCTTTTCCAAGAGCTGATTCCTTTGTTAGGCCTGGCTATCTATTTTGGTACCTGGAGAAAAATAGTGCAAAACATAGTCCAAATCAACTATGTTGTTTATTTGTTTGAACACATATTTAGGGGAGGGAAAAAGAGACCTTGGGACACAAATGCCAATGGATGAAGAAAGGAAGACAGGCAAGGCCAAGTCGGAGCTCATCTGAGGTACAACTAAGGGATAGTATGAGAACCACATGGCAGTTTTCAGTTTTAACTGTCTTACTAAGTAGAGGCTAAACTCAGTTGTTTCTAGATGCTGAAGAAGTTATATATGCTATAGGCTCCTTCTAATTTTTGGTGGCCTGGGGAAAAGTCCCAGTTGTCTTGTCCTAGTTATGGCTCTGAGGTAAAAATTCCTCACCCATACTTACCTTCTCTAGAGTATCATTCAATATAACCATACTTTGCATTTTAGCAACATTGGCAAGAGCACTGTAAAGACAAAAAAATTTCATGTGAGATTTTTGCCTCTTTCCTTCCCCGTCTAAAACATTCACACATGGTATGTAGACTGCATTTTCTGCTTTGGCTGTGCGTGATACAACTTTCTGCTTTCCAACCTAACCAGTGCAATGAAGAGAAAGAGCGCTGGCCCTGGAGTCAGGAGGACTTGAGTTCAAATTCTGACTTAGACATTCACTAGCTGCTTGACTCTAGGCAAATCACTTAACCTCTGTCTGCCTCAGCTTCCTCAATTGTAAAATGGGGATAATAACATTACCTACCTTGTGATATTGTGAGGATCAAATGAGATGTTTGTAAATCGTTTAGCACAGTGCCTGGCACATAGTAGGTTCTATATAAATGCCCATTTCCTTCTTTCCCTTCCCTTCTCAGGGTTGTTGTGAGAATCAAATGAGACAATATTTGTGAAATACTTAGCACAGTGCCTGGAACATAGTAGGTGCTGTATAGGTACTCATTTCCTTCCTTCTTTCCGTGGCTACAAGGCTCTGGATCTTGGTGGCCAGGTAGCTGGCCAAGCTTTGTAGGCAGAATTTTGGGCCATAGGGCAGTTTGTCACATCACAGCTGAGCGTGAGCTGACGGTACAATTTCCTGAGGGAAACCATGCATTTGGCATCTGAAGGGCTCATATTTGTTAGCCCAGTCACTAGGATTAAAGACAACGATTTATTACATTCAGTTATTTATTTACTCTGAAGCACTCTGCATTTTTTTTTAAAGGCAATTTTCCTAGAAAATGTAGTGAGAGTTGTTCACCCATGAAAATGCTGCAGTGGAGTGATTAAATACATTCATTCCAGAAGTGAAGGTAGGTCCGTAAGTGCTGAGCTACTGATGTGCTGCTCAGGTTTCCCGACCAATTCCAGCTTGTTAATAATCATCATTTGCATAGTTTAGCTGGTAAAGTACATTTCAGTTACCATTTTCTTTCCCATTTCAATATTTCTATAGCATAAGACAGTATTAATATTGTGCCTCCATTTTCCCGAGGCCCAGAGAAAGGAATGATCTGGACCCTGAGAGCAGAGGAATATTCAGACAGTGTGGGCTTCCCTAGACACTGAGATTTCTGGGCCTATGCAGGATCCTGTTAGAGTCAGCCGCAACGGAGCTGATGGCTAAATTTCCAATGTGAGCATTCATACTTTGTAAATTGGCAAGCACTACAAATGGGAGCTTGATTTATTCTTTTGTTGATTGTATAGATTTAAGAAAGTGATGGAGAAAATGTCAACAAGGCATATTAGATTTAAAGGTGTGTCATGTCTACACTTTACATACGTATTTTTTGCAGAAGCAGGTCGTCAAACATTTCCCTGCACAGACCCAAGGCTTGTCTTACAAGAAGACAATAATAATAATTAGAATTTTTAGTGATTTAAGGTTTGCAAAGTACTTTATACATGATTATCTCATTTGGTCCTCACAACAGTCCTGGAAAGTAGGTCCTCCTATTATTCCCATTTTATAGATAAGGAAACTAAGATAATAAGGGGTTAAGCAACTTATTCAGAGTCACACAGCTAGTAAGTTTCTGAGGCTAAATTCGAACTCAGGCCTTCCTGACTCCAGTTCTAGCACTCCACCTAGCTGCCTAGATGCAACCTGGTATCATAGAGAAAAAAATTACACACACACACACACACACACATATATACACACAGACATATTCCAAAATTTAGAAGAAAAACATACTTTTTAAAAATTATATATATTTTAAGCATTTAAAATGTACATCTTAAGACTGAAATATATAAAAATAAGCTAATACAATAATATATTTTTGTTTTTAGGTCATAAGAAGGTCTTACAAAATTGTAAAAAGAAAATCTGGATTCAGAAAATGAAACAATGAAACTGGTTATAAAATAGATAAACTATAGTAAATATAAAACTAAAAAAAAGGAATTTGAGGAAAGACAAATATTGTTTTAAAAATCTTGCTGAAATAATGTATTTTCCCAAATAACATGAGAATAGTAGTTTCACATATTAACTATAACTGCATAGCAAAAGAAAGACCAAATAAAAAAATAGGCTATAATTATGAGTTTATAATAGGCAGTTTCTAGTTGTCATGTTGTTCAGTTGTATCTGACTCTTCATGACCCCATTTGGAGTTTTCTTGGCAGAGATACTGGAGTGGTTTGCCATTTCTTTCTCCAGGTCATTTTCCAGATGAGGAAGCTAAGGCAAACAGGGTTAAGTGACTTGCCCAGGGTCACACAGCTAGCAAGGGTCTGAGGCTGGATTTGAGCTCAAAAAGATGAGACTTCCTAACTCCAGGCCTGGCAATCTGTGTACCTAGCTGAAAGAACACTGGCTTTGCAGTAAGAAGATCTAGCTCAGATCTTACTTCTGATGTTTATTACATATGTGACCTTGGGCGAGTCACTTAATCTCTCTAGGCTTCAGTTTCCTTTTCTGTAAAAATAAGGGGAGGAGGGGCAGACTAAATTAACTCTAAGGTCTTTTCCATATCTAAATCTATGATACAATTTACTAATCAGCAAATTGGGGTGGGTGGGTGTGAACATATAAAATGATTATTTAGGTTTATGTAAGTACTGTTTATATTTTCTACATAGATTTCAAAGAGAGAGAAATATTTCCTTCTTTTGGATTAGTTAAAATCTCTTCAATTGTCAAGCAGCCTCAGCCCTTGGGTAAGGACCAAAATCCACGGGAATCAAAGCTTCTAGCCATTCTGAAGGAGGTGCCAGAGAGATAAGTTTGAGGACAAATAAGGGAGGTGCCAGAAACGAAGCCAGTGTCAACAAGAGATTCAATAAAGAAAAATAAGGAAATGTTTGTTGGGTCACTGGAATGGAAGGATACCCAGGCAATATTCCAGCAGGACTAGACAACAACAATGAGTTTGCACTGCTGGATGGCAACGGGGCTTCAGATTTTATCCAAACCTTTTGGTCTCTCTGACTCAGTTGCCTGGGATTTATTAATTAAAAAAAAAATTAAATTTTTTTCTTACATTCCCACAGTATCGCAGATATCCCTCCCTGTCTTCTTCGCCAAAGCCACCCGATATGACAAATAGGGGTTGGGGGTTTTTTTAGAGAGAAAAAAAAAGCACGACTGATTGATGCATTGAGAAAATCTAAAAACATGGGCATGTGTAACACCTGTGGATCTCTCACATACAGAAAGGGTAGGTTGGGGGTGTCTTCTCATATCTCCTCATTCATATCCCACTTGTTCTTTTTTAAAAATTTAAAAAATTTTTTCCCAGTTGCATGTAAAAACAATTTTTAATGTTCATTTTTAAAAAATTTAAGTTCCAAATTCTCTCCCTTTCTTCTTCTTCTTCTCCTCTTCGATAAGTAATTTGATATAGGTTATACATTTACAATTAAGTAAAACACATTTCTGTATTATTCATGTTGTTAAAAAAACAAAACAAAACAAAAGCAACCAGAGACCAAAAAAAAAACCCCAAAAAAACCCTCACAAAAAATGAAGTGAAAATAGTATGCTTCATTTGGACTCTATAAATTCTCTCTATGAAGGTGGTTAGCATTTTTTCATCATGAGTCCTTTAGAATCATATTGGATCATTGTATTGCTGAGCAGAGCTAAATCATCCACAGTTGATCATTGTACAATATTACTGTACACAGTGTTCTCCTGGTTCTTCTCACTTCACTTTACATCAGTTCATGTAAACCTTTTCAGCTCTTTCTGAAAGCATCCTGCTTGTCATTTCTTATAGCACAGTAGTATTCCATCACAATCACATATAATAACTTTTCTACCCATTTCCCAATTGATGGATATCCCCACAGTTTCCAATTCTTTGTCACCACAAAAAGAGCTACTGTAAATATTTTTGTACATAAAGTCCTTTCTCCCCCACTCCCCCTCTTTCAAAAAAAATCTCTTTGGGCTACAGACCTAGTAGTGGCATTGCTGGGTCAAAGGGTATGCATGGTTTTATAGCCCTTTGGGCATAGCTCTAAATTGCTCTCCAGAATGGTTGGATCAGCTCACAACTCCACTAAAAGTGTATTGGTGTCCCAATTTTCCCACATCCTCTCTAACACATTTTCCTTTTCTTTCATATTAGTCAATCTGATAGGTGTGAGGTGGTACCTCAAAGCTGTTTTAATTTGCATTTCTCTAATCAATAGTTATTTAGAGCATTTTTTAATATGAATTTAGGTAGCTTTGATTTCTTTGCCTGAAAACTACCCGTTCATATCCTTTGACCAGTTATCAATTGGGGAACGACTTGCATTCTTATAAATTTGATGCAGTTCTCTACATATTTGAGAAAAGAGGCCTTTATCCCCACTTGTTCTTTATAATTTTGTTTTAGATATATATAAAACTTTTTGGTGTATTGTTTCCATTTAAATTGTAGCCACTGTGCATAGCATTTTCTTTGCTCTGCTTCCTTCATTCTACATCTACTTCCTTCATATAAATCTTTCCATGCTTCATTACATTCATCACATACATTATTTCTTAATGTCTTAATTATTTCCCTCAAGGTTTCTCTTAAGAACTTTGGAAAAGATCGTGTACCACAGGACACGCTGGCACAGGACTGCCCAGCATGGCGTCTTCACATCAGAGAAGGTGCTGTGCTCTATAAGCAAAGCAGAATTGAAGTAGTTCAACAGAAACGCAAGCTGCGCAAATTTAAAGAATCCGCCCCAAATGTTCACACAGACTATCTGTGCTGACCTGTGGTAGAACATTCTGGGCTTGTATTGGTCTGATCAGCCACAGTCAGACACTCTGCAACTTGGCTCTAACATAGTGAGGTCATTTTGATCTTCTTCAAGAGTGAAGGACAACAACCTATTTCTTATAACACAGTAATTTTGCATTGCATTCATGTGCCACAATTTCTTTAGCCATTCCCCAGTCGATGGGCATCTACTTTGTTTCCAGCTCCTAGCTATTACAAAAGTACTGCTATAAATATTTTGGAATACATGGGGA